TGTTTAATTTTTCCAAAATCAATTGCAATGTTAGTTCCATAGTGCTGGTTACTAGAGTTGCATCTAACGGTGGCAGAAACTGATGCTTCTGCTTGGCTGTTAAGTCATTGTCGCAGAGTTTCGTGTAGCTGGGTTTCTTGGTTTTGACCATTTGAGCTTGCTTGTGATGTAGGATTTAGCCTTCTCAGCTTATTTTTTAATTTTTGTATTTTTTCAGCATCAATGCACCCTCTATAGTTAGCTGGGTGGCTGTCACTGCAATTAACGCATTTTGACTTAGAATCCTTTGGTTTCGAACAGTCTACAGTGGATGTTTTCCTGTACATCTTACATATCGTGGTTCTTTAGCGCAATATTTTTGCCTATATCTATAAGATTGACATCTTTTGCATTGAGGTACTAATTTGGAAGTTTTCAGTGCTTTTATTTGCACTTGACCCCGACAATTTTGTTGATGTCTTCATCATGGCTAAATGTTAACATAAAAATATTAGGAGGTGGTTTTGTTCTTCACTTAAGTTTGTTGATGGCTTCTATGTCCCTAAACCCTTTATTTTTTAAGTGGGCTACATGTTGTTTTTGGATCACACGAAAAGTGTAACCTGTTGGCAATTACTTTAATCCGCCGTACTTGTTTGTTTGCATATAAATGCCATTAAATCTTTATTTCATTTAGTCTTTTAGTGACCAGTCTGTAGCTGTCTGCATCCTGAACGTTTATTTTGATTTTTTTGTTATTTAGAACTTTTTTGCTACTGCACAGGAACTTGAAACTAACAAAGAGAAATACCAAAAAGAATTAGAAACAGGCTACAACCCGTTAACTCTGATACCCACCTATAAGCATAGACCAAATAACCCAAAAAATAGAATCAGGTATTAGTAGGTACCAGAGTAAAAAAGCTGTGCTCTAAAAACATAACCCCAGCAAACAATTTACTCATCAGCCGAAGAAAGTTGCAGAGACACACACAGCAATACAATGAGTTAAATAAAAATATCAAGAAACACATACGAAAATACATAAGAACTAAAAACACCAAACTGATACAGAATACTCTTGAACAGAATAGCAGTATGAAAGTGCTAAAGACAAAACTATCAAAAGGGAAAACACAATTAATACAAATTAAAAATGAAAACAACAATTATTATGACAAAGAAAAAGGAAATAGCAAAAACTATCGACAAATTTTACACCACCCTTTATTCATCAAAAATAAAGAGCCCAATGAAAAGAACCCAAAAAATATTAAATGTCGGCTCCGAAGATTTACTAGATATCACAAACCCAGAAATAAAAAATGCACTAAAACAAATGAAAAACGGTAAGTGTCCTGGTGAAGATAGGATATCGACTGAAATGCTGAAGTTTGGTGGACCTGTACCTATTGGAAGGATGTATTGTAAATTTTTTTAACAAATGTCTTTACGACGGCAGAGTACCAGAATGCTGGCTCGAAGCAGAAGTTATACTGTTGTATAAAAAAGGAGACTCAACCAATATAGAGAACTATAAGCCTATTAGTTTACTGTCGCACCTTTACAAGCTCTTCTCAAAAGTTATAACCAACAGGTTAACATCAAAGTTCGACTCCTATCAACCTGTAAAACAGGCTGCTTTTCGATAGGGTTTCTCTACAATTGATCATTTACATGCGAACACTAATTGAAAAATCTGTGGAATATAATGTGCCAATTCATACAGCTTTTATTGACTTTCATAAGGCATTCGACTTGATTGAAATCTGATATATATTAAAATCCATGGACAGCGCACGTATCGATTCCAGATATAGGTACTACAATAATTGAAAACATCTATAAAAATGCATCCTTTCCAGTAAAAATCGACAACGAAACTAAGACCAATACCATTGGGGTTAAACGCGGAGTACGACAGGGAGACACCATTTCGCCGAAGTTATTTACATTAGCTCTTGAGGAGGTTTTCAAGAATCTCAGGTGGAATAACAAGGCAATTAAGATCGATGGAACATCTAAACAACCTCAGATTTGCAGATAATATTGTGCTAATATTGGACGATACAGGGCCGTAGCCAGGGGGGGGGGCATTGGGGCAATGCTCTATCTTTTAAATGATGATGCCCTACCTTTAAAAATCAACATGTATTTAGGTTTCTTTAGAAAATTTAAGAGAAGATAATGCCTGAAGTAGATAGGCCTGAAATCGAGTAAGCGAGGATGAATGTTTCCGAAAATGCCTAAATCTAATGAACAATGTTTGACGTTTGCACGGAGGAAGTTTTTGTTTTCAAAAAGTGCGAATGGCCCAATGCGGCCGGCGCGAGAATCTGCGCCATTTTGTTTACTTGCCAGATATGTTATTTATTGCAAGGTGGTTTGATAGAGGCGAGAGTAGGTAGGATGCCTGGTAACTTTATGACGTCATCTGGGGTGCCTCAACATAATGCAAATCTCTATAAGGTATCCTAGATCAGATGTGTCATCAAGTTACCCCTTACCAGCGTTGCCAACTTTCGAAAATCAAATTTCCCACAAGGGAGTCCAAAAATTTCCTTTTTGAGAATAAATTCCCACAAATGCACAAAATACTGACAAAACGTAATAATGCAAATCTTCAGTAAATAAATTAGATTTTAAAAGAAATTAAATTTGAATTTTGTTGCAACAAATCAAATAATTACAAGTCATTCGTTGGAGTTTTCATTTGTACCGCCTGCTAGATTCTAGAACTAACCTGAGGCGTTTTCTCGCGTCCACTTTTTTGAAACTGGTTCAAAACTGCTTTTAAACAGTACATTTACGGGATAAACCCATGACGTCACGTCAAAATTGGTTCAAACCGTTTCGAAATACAATCCAATCCACGTTTTCAAACCATTTTCTCGCGCCGAGAAATTATGACGTCATGGTGACATTACTTAAACCAGTTTTGAAACATTTGAGACGCGAGAAAACGCCTCAGGAATCGGGTTCGAACTTTTTTGGTTCAACGTGGTATCATTTGTCAGTTGCCAATTCCATCAATAATCATATTTATTTTTCGGTAAATCCCCGAACTCGAACTCTCAAACTCGACTACCTCAATGCTCGATTCGATTCATTCTGAAGTGAATCACAATTCACAAGTGGAGTTCATCGGTTAATCCTCAGCGAGCAAACAGATGACAGGACCACGTGATAAGCTTTGAAACTTCAAATCGAAGATCATATGGACTACTGCCAACAGTGTCATGTTTCAGCTCGCGGAGGATAAACCGAACTCGCTTACAGTCACTCTGTGCTGCTGTGACAGGGGAGACCCAGGGTGCGCTCGCAAACGTCAACGTGGAAACGCATACATTCGAAGAATCATTTTTGAGCGCATTCGAAACTTGCACAGTTCGCGATCGGACCGCGAACGTCTTGCGTCCTTATATGCGCTAATTGTTATGAAATATTCCACGAATATCGCAATTTTGGTGGAAATTTCCCTTTTCCCTTTAGTGTTACTAATTTCCCACGAATCGGGAAATTTCCCACGAATTGGCATCACTGCCCCTTACCATACAACCTGAACCTTCATTTATTGAAAAATTTGCCTGCAGCACCATTAGCCCCATTTTGTTTACCTATAAAAAAATTAAGGGGGGGGGGCAAGTAGTGTATGCCCTATGTCAAATTTGTCATGCCCTACCTTAAATTTGACTCTAGCTACGGCCCTGGGACGATATAAGAGAGATCGAGTCAATGCTTCAAGAGCTAAACAAAGAATCGAATAGGATGGGGCTGAAAATGAACATTGCAAAGACAAAAATAATGAGTCTAATAAATTCACGGATCTATCTATATAAATAACTCTGTCATCGAAAATGTAAAAGAATAAATACAACTACCTGGGTCATATTTTATCTCTTGGAAAGGAAAACCAATCAAAGGGAATATCAAGGCGAATAAAACTCTCCTGGGAGGCATTTGGTAAACTTGCACATTAAGAAATAACGATATCCCCATTTATCTAAGACGTAAAGTTTTCAACGCCTGTGTTCTACCTGTTGCAACATACGGAATGGAAACAGCTGCCATTACCCAAGCAAGTGCCCACAAATTCCGAGTAATGGAGAGGGCAATGGAAAAATCGAGGGAAAAATCAATGCTAGGTATCAGTCCGAGAGATAGAATACCAAATGATGAAATTCGGAGAAGAACCATCAAGGTCAAAGACATAATTGAGAGGATTGCAGAACTGAAATGGCAATGGGCTGGCCACGTAGCAAGGCTGAAGGATGAGAGATGGTCATCAAGGATCGTTAAATAGAGACCAAGAGAGACAAAACGCAGTATAGGCAGACCACCTCTACGGTGGGCAGATGACATAAGGGAAATGGCAGGTGGAAATTGGTACCAAAAGGCCCAAACCAGGGATCAGTGGAAAGAATTAGGAAAGGCCTATGTTCAGGAGTTGACGAGAAGCGGCTGAGGAAGAATAACTTTTATTTGGACTCCTTGTATATTATTTAACTTATCGTAAATATCGTTAAAGTTATTTACGCCATGTATGGAATTAAAAACCCTGCAAAATGATGTATAACTTGACCGCTCTTCCCATTTAAGATTTTCTAGGGGGTGGCTCTGGGGGCTGGAGGGTTGAAAGAGGGGAGGTTAATTTTGCATAAAAACTCATCTCCCTTCAAATTATAGTCGACGTGTTTCAGGGATTTTTTTGAAAATTTTTGTACTCCGAGATAATAGGGGTGGGAAGTTCTCAAATTGACACCCTGTATATACAATACTGAGGGAGAATTTAGTGTTGATAAAAATCAGCGACTTTATAAAACCCTTTGACTGAAAATTTTAGTGTCCATTTCTCGAGAAAAGACAACACAGTCATGGGACGCATAAGTACATAATATTGAATGCATTTTTCTTTAATCTTCTAGCTGATTTTTGAGAATTTCTCAGTTTTTCTTTGCACCTGGTCTCATATTGAAAACTCTGAACATCTATACCAAAAAAAAAATAAAACCCAACCAAAATTATTGCTTAACAGTATTTTTATTTCTTAGCAAAAATAGAAACTTTTTTTTTTCAATGCTACAGGAATTTTAAAAGGAAGTTGGGGACAAAACGGATTGTCTCTATTTAAATTTCCATAGAGCTATATTCCAATTACTATTATAACATTAGTATTTTTACAAAAGTACCTATTGGATTTCAATTATTATTCGAGAAACAATTTTTTTATAGAGTATATTCAAGGACCTACTAACTAATTTGCGGGAAAGAAATTATAAGACGAGATTTGAAATTCTAGTGAACATTTGAACAATCTTAATAAATACCTATGAAGTTTTATACACAAGTGAATAAATAATTAAATCCTAGTAATCATATGTCGGAAACTATAACATAAAATACAAACAAATACATAATTTTATACCAGCTATTATTTAAAAATACTATTTACATTTAAGCCATTAAAAAAATAATTGATTGATGTAGGAAGACTACAATAAATTCAAATCTACCAAGTAGTTATAAAAATTAATATTAAACTTTGTTTATGCCAAAACACCTCTTTCTACAACTAAAAATAAAGACTAGTATTTATACTAATTTCCAATGCAGATTCAGTATTTTTTTTTTTTTTCATTCATTTAAGTACAAGAGTTTTTTCTATAAACCTCTAGAGAGAAAAATTCACAGCTTTATTATATTAGTACTTAGTACAATACAAGGGTTGCCTAGTCACTTAATAAAAAGTCTTAGATCATATCATATCATTCAAGCAAAGGAAAATTTAATAGGTAATTTTAGTACCAAGACAAGTGTCATGAAATATTTATACATTCGGTTTTATTTGAAAGAAACATTTTCTAGGAAATCAAAAACAAAAATGCAAAAAATAATAATTTAACAAGTCATATAAATACTGTTTTCAACAAAATATAAGTAACTATTTATGCTTAATTTAATGAGAAGTAGGTACATATATTATTTTGATTTTTCTGTTGGGCTAGAAAATTGACTTTTGGCATTTTTATTTCTGTACCAAATATGAAAAAGTATCTATACATTTTTAATCAACCAAGGACCTTGATAATTAATTGTTTTTTGAATTTGAACAATGAATTTTTGCAGTAAAGTTACAAATCTCTTTTTCAATTGGGCATTTTTTTAACCAATTAAATTATTAGACATCCTCAATTCTCGACTATAAAAAGGGCCCCTAAAATTACATTTTGGTAAATAATGTAAATATTATGCTAAAAATGTCACCTAATAGAGAGTAATTGAACTAGCACTATACTTTCGTTATGGTAAAATTAGTTACAATTTGTAAAAGACTATTGCCAAAATCCCTATTAAATAATTATTAAAATTTATTATTTATAACGGAGCACCCTCAAAATTTGTAATACTACCCAATAACTCTCTATTATTACGGAAATAAAAAAAGTCTAATCACAATAGGGAATTTGTTCTAACAATAAAATATCACTTTTTACACTTGGCTACGTCGTGAAGTTTTTTCCACAAATCGTATTGTTCGGCACTTTTCACCATGTGAATACTAATTTCTTTTTGCACATTGCACGGCGTAAACGAGACTCTTTTATTCAAAAATTCAGGTGCGTGCACTCGTTTGATTTTAAGTCCATTTGCAACAATTCCTGTTAGAAATACGTCTTCCAATTTTAAATAGGTGTGATTTAGCGCTGACAAATATAGCGGTTTAGCTAAATTGGCTGGAAGTAAATAAGCCGGACCCGTGGTGAAGTCTGGAAACACTGGAGGTTTGTATTGTTGCGGTGAAATGTAGTATTTTGATTTTTTATTTCGGATAGGTTTCCACTTTTTGGCCAAACGTCCGTAAATTGTTTTTTGTTCGGGTTTATGTTTAGCAATGAATGCTAAAAGTCTTGAAACGTTTATGAACATATCGTCGTCAGTTTTAAGTACAAAAGCTGCTTTCGGACAAAAATTATCGACCCATTCTAATATCGAAATAGTTTTCAGTGTCAAATTGTCATAAGTGTCGATAAATTTGCCTCTAATAATATCACCAAATAAAATTTGTTCTTCATCTAGTTTTTTGTTTATTGTTTCATTAGCTATCGAACCTAACATAAAAGCTATAGAGACGTCCCTTCGGCCAGCAAAAGAACCCCAAGTCTTCCTAATCGCTTCTCTGGCACTTTCATGGCTTGGCGCTGATGTGATGGCTATCAGCACTTTGACATTTTTGCCCAAGTCTGCACAAACTTCGCTACTTACATCTACGTGTCCCGACTCGTATATATACTCAGCAGGAACACCTCGAGTCAGATCTATATGAACATTATTATTGTTCGAATTTGTCACATGGTTACTAGTAGAATTATTATTAACAATTATCGATACAGATGGTTGTTGAGGGGGCGCCTCCGACGACGTGCTAGTGTTGTGCACCGCCCCCGGAAAGCTAATGTTACCTTGGATCATTCGGACATCTGACGAGGTAAGGAACGACCGTGTTGGCGGTATTGTTGGTTTCAGTGTGGCTGGGTTCAGCGAGAACAGAAAGAAAACTAGTATGAGCAAGGTGAACGCGAATGCCAAGTGCAGGAAACGCACTTGGGGTAGTACCCATGGCGCCCCCATACCTGGAACAAGAAAAAACAAATATAATTAGGAGTTAAATTCTGGATAGTTTTCATCTATCCTAAGGTTTCTCAAGTATAAAACAAGGTTCTTGAAAATTAGTTTCAACTTGGTGACTAACAACAGTTTCAACCTTTATTTAAATTAGTATGTGCAAACAAAATTTTATAAGAAATAAAAACATTTATAACATATTTAATATGCAAGTATTTAAAAATAACAATCACAAACAAAAATAAAACAGTCTCAGAAAGTTATATTAACCAATTGCCAAGTGCTAATTTATAATCAAATATCTATTTTTTATTTCAGCGGATTAGTGCTTACCCCTTTCCTCTATGACTTTCTAAATACATTGTTGTAAAGTAAACATCAAATTGCTATATCGGCATTAAATTCTTATCTAAGCTAGCGCAGTCCCATAAGGAACGTCCATTTGTTTTCAGGCTTTTGCTGTAGCAATTTGATCCACATATTTTCTTTTGTCACCTCTGTATTTTAATCAATAAAATAAATGTTTCCTGAATCAGAAAATATAATTGGGGCAGTCGTTCAGTGGCGAAAACCAATACTTAGAATATTTCATAAGAAACATCAATGAATTCTATCAAACCTACTACACTGGTGAAAATGCCCAGAAAGAGTATGTGGTTACCGCCACAAAATCAAAATTAATAAATGACGCGGGCAATTTTCTTATGGCACGTCCTGATTTACAAACATGAACCGATATAAGAGAAGCGTTAAGAATTGAATATGGTGATCAATATTCTAGACAGAATTTGGTACAAGAGCTTATGTACACCACTAAAACTAATAAAGAAACTATTATTCAGTATTTGGATAAACTAAAAGGTTACTTCAAAGAATTACATCTAAAATCACGTGCGACCCAAATTTAACGGTAGTTGCAAATGTCTTGATTGAACAAAACAAAATTATTGCTATACAAAATCTAGTCACTAATTCGCCAACCGAATTAAGAACAATTTTAATGTTTCAAAATCCACAAACGTTGAATGCAGCTAACAAATTTGTGTTAAATTATCAACTAGCTGAAAACCACATAAAATTTAGTAGAGGACCTAATCATTCTACTAATCAAAATCAAAATAAAAAATTTTCAAATTTCAAAAATAAAAATACGCAATTTCGTTCACAACAAACCTATACTCAACACTCAACAAAAACCTCAATATACACAAAAAACATCCTGTGTAGCACAGAAACCAACGTTTCCATCCCAATCTATTAATATGACACCTAAAAAGGACTATGTACCAACAAAAGGTCCTACTAGTTCAGGAACTTTTGGCAAAAATTACAATAATGCCTTTCGAAAGAACACTAATCAACAATTTTCGAAACGGACACCTATGTCCGGAGTTTCAGTGCAACCACGAGCACAAAATCAACATCAATACAGACCCAATAACTATTTCAAACCTGACCCAAATGCAGGTCCATCAAGATATACAATCGAAGAGATTAATAATATCTTTGAAATCCAATTATCTGACCCTGACGAAAATTTCGAAACTGAAGAATGTTCCGAAAATCAAAATTATTATGAAGAGACAAATTTTCAAGAAAATCAAGTCGAAACTGAAGATGAAAATTTTCAGTTACAAGCCTTGGATGCAATGAGTCAGCATTAACTTTAAATGCTTATCAAATCAACCAACTGCCTTTTATTCAAATAGACTATCCACTGTGTAAATTATTTATTGACACAGGAAGGCATGCCTCTTTAATAAGACCCTCAATCGCAGAAGAATATTTTTCAAATTCTATAATTAATTCACGAAACAAGATAACTACTTGTATGGGTACAAGAAAAACCCAAGGAAAAATCAATGCCCCAATTTTACAAGAATATAATATTCAAAACAACATTGAAATGATAATGTACAATTTCCATTACTATTTTGATGGAATTATTGGAATCAAAGCATTACAAAAAAATAATTTAAACATAGATTTTTGTAATACATATGCTTCTTTCTAATAATAAAACAACAATTCCGTTTCAATATAGAACTGATTTCGAAAATCAAAATTTTGAGATTCCAAGCAACTCAATTCAAGTATGTTATTTCAATAAAAATATAGCTGACGGCATTGAAATACTTACACCACCACCGATAAAAAATGAATCATATTATATTCCTCCGACAATAGCAACAGTCATTAATTAAATGGCGCCTTTAGAAGTGCACAACTTAATGAATAAGCCTATTATTGTCCCATATAACATAAATAGCGGAAATAAATTTACCTTATGCTGATGAACAGTTTGAGATATTTAATATAGAACAAATGACTTCATTGGAAAACGATGAATATGCAAATGACCCTGAGGAATTTGATGCTCTAAAACACGTAATTAAATCTTTTCTTAAAATTTTCCACAAGCCAAATGAAAAATTGACATTTACCAATCAAGTCAAACATGAGATTAAAACAACAGATGAAATACCAGTGCACACGAAAACGTATGGATACCCACATGTGCATAATAGACTGTGAGATAGGGGCTGTTTAGTCGAGTCATTTTTTCTTGTCTGGCATTTTGAGGGCTGAATGTGGCTACTAAGCTGATGAGAATATGGGTGATTTTAATGCCGGCCTCCCGTTCGAAAATTTCCAGAAGAAAAAAATTGATTTACATGAAGAATTTTTTTTAAATGATCTCAAATTTTCTAGCTTTTAAATAAAAGATTGACATTGATAAATAATTCACCCATGAAAAATATCAATGCTTTTCAATAGCTGAAAAAATGGATCTGGCAATCGAGAGAATGAAAGGTTTTGTTGTGAAAATAACGCTGAAAAATCGCCAGACGCTAATCACAGTTCGAAATCGAGTTTTCCGGCGAAACATTCTGTGGACATTTCGAACAGGAGGCAGGCATTAAAACCACTTATATTCTCATCAGCTAACTAGTCACATTCATCCCTCAAAACGCCAGACAAAAAAAAATGACTCCACTAAACAGGTCCTATCTCAGGTTCTATAAACAAGAAGTAAATTCTCAAATAAAGAAAATGTTAAAAGATAACATAATCAGACCATCTTTTAGTCCCTGGTCATCCCCTGTGTGGATAGTACGTAAGAAAGAAGATGCCGCAGGCATACAAAAATGGAGAATGGTCGTTGATTATCGGAAGATAAACAAAAAAACTATTGATGATAGATATCCATTATCCATTACCTAATATTACTGTTACATTAGACCGACTTGGTCGTAGTAATTATTTTAAGACACTATATTGAGCCTCTGGCTTTCATCAAGTCGAGATGCATGAAAATTCGATACCCAAGACAGCATTTAATGTTGAAAATGGTCATTACGAATTTAACAGAATGCCCTTTGGATTAAAAAACGCCCCAGCAACATTCCAAAGAGTGATAGATAATGTATTACTAGGATTACAGAATAGAATATGTCTATATAATATACATGGATGATATAATAATTTTTTCCACTTCACTTCATGAACACGTGAAAAATTTAAAGAAAGTATTTGAGAGACTCGAGAAGTTTAATTTAAAAATACAATTAGACAAATCAGAATTCCTACACAAGACAGTCGAATTCTTAGGACACGTAATCACACCAAATGGAATAAAACCGAATCCAAAAAAGATAATGGCAATAAAAAAATTCCCAATACCAAAGACAGTGAAAGAGATTAAATCATTTTTAGGATTAGTAGGTTATTACCTCAGAGCAGGAAAAGCGCTGTCCTACGGACATAAGGAGTAGGAACGCGCCATTCTGCTAGGAAACTGAAGTGAAGCCAGTTTTAAGCAGGTATTTGTACACCAAATGACAGGTAAAGCATTGAATTAGCTATACTGCCATTATTTGGGATCTCAAAATACCTGGGAAAAAAACGGCTTCATTATCCAACTGCATGTTCCTACTCCTCCCACCTAGGAAAGTACCTGCTCTAAGGTTATTACCGATTATTCCACTCATGTGTTAGAAATCCCATAAGACAAGTGACGATTTTCAGAATTACAGCGAAAATTCTCTTTTCCATTTGTTTAACTAGAGAGAATTACAGCGATAATTCTCCCATGTTATTGTATACATGGTTGTCATGCTAATTTTTGATACAAAAAAACGGTTCCTGATAGCAACCATTTATTTGTATTGATTGTTAAGATGTTCAAATCGTTTAATACATATTTATTTCCATATTTTTTGCATCCTCCTACGTGAAATAATCCTCTAAATACCACTTGAGCTTTAAAATTAACCAGATAATTTTGAAGCTCTCGTGGTATTATCCCCGAAAATTCATAAAAAAAATTGCCAAATTGACCAAACCAATGACATCTTGTTTGAAAAAAGACAAAAAGATAATACATAATGCAGAATTTCTTAATAGCTTTGGAACTTGTAAAAATGTATTGATAAATGACCCTATATTACAACATCCTGACTTTAAGAAACCTTTCTTATTGACAACCGATGCCTCAAACTATGCAATTGGAGCTGTTTTAGTGTTTCACAAGACAAGATTTCTGGTCTTGCTGGGCCTATTCTTGTCTTGTCTTGCAAAGAAAGACAAGAAATGAAATTCATTCTTATCTTGCCCGACTCTTGCAGAAAAAAATCTTGTCTTGCGAACAAGATTTCTTGCAATTTCTTGTTCTTGCATTATTTGTTTTGTGACGTCATAGCAAGAGCCACACCCACATATTATTGTGGTGGAAAAACTATACTAAATACCCAAATTTGGGAAACATGGCGAGGGCTTTTTTCGTTACTCCTGCCACTTCTGTGACCTCGGAAAGATTATTTTCTAAAGCATCTTTGGTAGCCAGAAAACATCGGAACAATTTCCAATTTTTTCAATTTCAATTTTATTGCTTACAGAAAGTAATTTCTACGACAATGGGTACGCTAAACCTTATAAACAAAAACAAAATAAACTCCTTAACTAAAATCTAATACCAAAAAATCTTACATACAAAATACAAAAGGGA